GGGGGGGGCGCCTCGCAAGTGATAAGGATAAGGGAGATAAAGACCCCGTCAATGAAGGGGAGGACGACGTTTATCGTATTGTCGAATCGTAAATAACAAACGACTGCTGAATGTAGACCAGCTCACAAGGCTTCCATCGCGTCGGTTTGGCGTTTACTGGATGACACCGTCAGGCGCGGCAAGTCGGAAATATAAACTTTGAACGCCGGTTTCGTCCTGCTTTGTTCAAAGGCTCGTCGGGGTGTGGGCCGTGGGCCACGCGACACTGCTGCACCGCGGGGCTCGCGGGCAGCCTGCCCAGACCGCGACCGCCTCCCCTGCCTCCAAGGCCGCGGAGCAGGCGCGCCGCCGGGCCGGCCCCTCAAGACCCCCGCAACTGATGGGCTCCTCTGAGCGAGGTACGCGCTGACCTACAAATATCTGACTGACTGACTCCCCCCATTGTCCAGCCCGTGTCCCTTCGAGTCAAAACAACGGCGTCCTCCTCCCTCGCCGTGGTGCTCCGGCGCGCAGCCCCCGCCGTCGTGTGCCCGGCACGGCCGTTCCTGGAACGAGCACGACGTCGCCGTCCGGAGAGGGCGATGGCCCTCCGCCACCTTTAGCGGACAATTAGCCGAGTGGCCCTGACTCTTTGATAGTTTTGACGTCGTGTCTCCTCGCGAACCTCGGATTCTCCGGATTCATCCTCCTCGCAAACATCGACCAAAGCGAGGACGAGCGACGACTCCTTCACCCCCGGGCACCGTGCTGTGTGCTGTGCACGCCGTCTCCGTGCGACGCACTAGAAACGATTTGGGACAAGAATTAAACGTTTGCGACGTAAGAGGGTGACCTGCGCCGCCCGTTTTTCTGGTAATACTGTACCGGCTACAGGCGTGTGGACGGGTTGCATACTCGCACGGGGCCGTAAGCCGGCATGACGAGCGGCTGTTGGCAAACCCACCCGCGCACACTTGCATCCAGTGCAGAGTAACCCAGAAAACCGGACGATGCCCACCCTGCATGTTCTTTGCCTGAGTTCAGCGCGCGCCTAGAGATGAGGTTGGTCAGCGAGTAAGTGACTGGGGCAAGCCGAGGGGGCGACCTGTTGCTTGTCCTGCTGGCGGTGCGTGTGGCTGTGAGTGCGTCGGCTGCAGGGCCTTGCCTTGATCAATAAGAGACACGTAACACGGGGCCAGGGCCAGGATCACGCCGGCTCCAGCCTTCACTTCACTTTCAATCGGACCGCCCCGTCGTCACGGGGGCCTGGATTGCCTCCCGACCCGGTCCAGACCCTCCCCCGTGTTTGTGTGCGTTTTTGCGCCAATTTTCATCGCCTCTTTCACGCATGGCGCACAATAGGACAAGGCACGCGCCCTACACACGCTTGCACGGCAACCTGTCGAGAGAGGCGAGCTGCATCCTGTCCCTCCCGCTGACATGCTTTTGTTGTTGTTGCTGCTTGTTGCTCCTGCTGACCCACCGACCGACCGACCGGAGAAAATTTAGTGGACCGGACTCATAGAGCACCTCCCCCCCCCTCCCTTCCCTTCCCCACCACCCCTCGGCCCGCCCCTAAACCTGACAGGTTGACCTGCTTTCCGCACAATAGGGGAGACCCTCCTCTGGGCGACGCGACGAACAACGAAAGCGCTTGTAAAACGATATCATAATAGAAAAGGGATCGACGCGCTTCTCCGTCCCACTTTCGTCAAGTAATGCGGTGAAAAGTCCCCGACTTTTTCGTTGTCGATACAACAACACACAACACGGTTTGTGTGACAACATTTTCGGGGTGGCGCGGCCGGCAGCACCGTGACGGGGGTGGCCGATTGTGTGCGTGTTTTTAATCGAGGGTAGCGGAGCGGCGCAGAGCTCGGAGAACAAGAGGAGCAGTGGCTCACTTGCTATTTAGTATTACTCCCCGGGTGACTCACGCTGCTCGCGCTGCACCGGCTGCAGCTGCGCGCGCTGCGGCCCCGCGGTCCCGCGGTCTCGGACCTGCCGCACGCCAGGCTGCAGCGCGGTGCAGCGCGGGTGCAGTGAGCGGCGGTGCAGCGGGTCCCGTCCGTGGCGTTGCTAGTCCAGTGCGGGCCAGCCCAGCCAGCCGGGCCCCAGCTGGGCCCCAGCCGGGCCCCACACGCTCGCTCTAGCCGGCGGCTAGCCGCACCAGAGCCAGCCGGCATGGGCGCGCGAGCCGCGGGGGCCGCGGGGTGGGG